CTTCTTGTGAACTACTATATTTTGGGATTGCGGGTTTTTATTGTTGAGTTGGAAAGGAACATAGAACTAAGAGAGCTTCCCCAGTCTTGAACCATAACCCAGATGTTTAATAAAACATGTTTTTCTTTTAACGCTACATTTTCAGGTCTTCGGTGTTTTACCATTACATGTTTAAAATATTTTGAGAAGGGCCGACTTTTACCAACGTTATGCTTCAGCAGTCAGAGAGTCTGGTCGACCTCTGGGCTGGAGGGTGCGTCGACCATTTGGAAGTGTAAACATCACCCCATCCTCTCTCCACATTTATCAAAGGACTGTGGGAGTAGCCCAGGGACAAAAAGTATAAATTTAGGACTCCACATGTGGTCAAGGTCTTTTGGTCTTTGGCTGTCCTGGTCTGTGAAATGAATGAATAAAGAGACCCGCGCTGTCTAACTGAGTTGCCCGTCTCCGACACCTTCTTTAAGAGTAACAGAGAAACCCCACAGTGGTTGTTTAAGGACAATCTGTTATTGCCCTTATTTAAATGATGTTAAAATGTAACCCTTATGAACCCGTCTGAGGCTGATCAGTAGAACAGTGACTAGATTTACTCGCTGTAACACATTCGCAGTGGCTTCTAGAATAAAGGAGTGCCTCGCGAGTCGATCCCTGTGGGGGAAAAAGCTCTGGCGCTCCTGTTTCAGGAAGTAGAAATCAGCCAGGGAGGACTGGAGTAGCAAACGGCACAGTTTGGAGTCTATTCTAGCATCTCCCCTCTGATTGGATAACAGCAACACGACTCCACCATAGACTCTATTTTGCATCGTTGATGTTTTAGCTCCACAAATAACACAACCCTGGAGGAGTTCTGCCATGTTGTGGAGTGGCTAATGCGAACAGTTAGCCTCTACTAGCCGAGACTCACTCTACTCTCTCCTGGTCCCTAAATCATCAGCCCTACCCATCGTGAGCTAAGATGTGTGAGTCCATGAATGCTCATTTTCAGTGTGACGTAGATCTGTGTGGCTTTTTCTGACACAAGCGTTCCTCCATCTATTTTCTATCAGCGGCTAATGCGGGAAACAGGGGTACAAGACTTTATTTATGTTCCGCCTGCAAAGGGTTTCTCGGGGAACCTGCTCTTTAAAAAACACAATTTAAAATGTCTGGCTTGAATGCATTTTTTTGCTCATCTGTATGTTTTCAACCAATTATCTGAATATGGGTCACAGGGCCAGCAGCGCCAGTCCGATCCTCGGATGGTGAGTGTATTTTTCATTTTGCATAAATCCTTTTCATAAATGAACACTCATAACCAAACTGGGTAGACGTGTATAGGAAGCTGTTCAGTTGCTAGCTGTAGGTTAAAGTTAGCTGGTTCTTGCAGCTGTTGCACTTTCCACATGGTAATTGGTGAAGGGTGCACAAGCATGGTAAAGAGGTGATGCTTTAAACATTTGCAAACAAAGTTGATGAATCTATTATCTTTTCCGAGGGAATTTCTTTTTTCCGGTGTTCAGTCGGATCTATTCTTCGATCATTTTGTCAAGATCCAATATCAAGATCCGATCGATCACTGAGGATGTGGTTTGACCTGCTTCACGACAAATGGGGTTTATGAGGACAAGTTTTGTCTGTCCATCACTAAATGCTTGAACTGTTATAATGAATCACCTTCAGTATTCATGTTGTGTTGGTTAGATTTGGTAAACTAAAATTTCTTGCCGTCATTTACGGTTTGATCTTATAAACTCTAGATGTTGGACACAAGAGGGCGAGACTGTGATCAAGCTGTTTTGATTCTAGCTCACAGTTTATTGCTGTAAATCAAAACAAACACAATTGTTGAGGTGTTGTTGCTTCAGTAGTGCAGAACAACTCTCATAAGACCAAAAAGCAACAAAACAAGAAATAGGAGAAAATGTCCAGAGATTTCATTCCTTGGGCACGTTTCAACACCAAAACTTGTCTCTGTTCCAAGAGCTGGCAGAAGGATGTGTTGATTTTGTCCCAATTGAGCAAATAAAAGCAGTTAAGCAGCATTTACTTTCCATTGAAGGACGTCCTCATTTTTTCCCTCCATCTTAAACACACTGACCGATGAATTTGTAACAGTCAGCAGCACATTCTCACAACTGCACTCATGCACATGTGCAAGTGTACATTTTCAAGGCTTACAGTTGCACCATTTCTACCGTCTACGATACATGTTTTCATTTCAAGCCGTTAAATAATAATGGAAGGTCTTGATTTAAATTCAGACAGGAAAGAAACATAAAAAGGAGTGACAACGCCCCCTTTGTTGAGTACACAGTGACTGGCTGTGAGAGATGTCAATCTGCAGCAAACAACAACATGAGCTGACTGGGTCAAGGCCATGTGTGTCAGTGTTTCTATTTTGAGAACACGGATGACTTATTTAAACCATCCTGTCTCTCCTGACACCCACAACGCCCTGTGGTCTGGCTGTACAGACTCCCTCTCCCTGCAGAGCATGTGCCCGCCGCCACCGAAGCAGCACGAGTTAGCGCTCACACCTGTACAACAGCCAGTCTAGATCCTGCACTTAGCTCTACCCGTGGTTTGTTTGATGCATGGAAGGAGTGGGAAAATGACTGCTTCTTGTCAATCAGGAAGAAGCGCTTGAAGCAGCCTAACAGTTTTTCGCCGTTTTTCACAGTTTGTGCTGCGAACCGATGTGCCGATGGTCAGAGAGAACGAACGGAGCTCTGCAGCCAGCAGTCTGATGCAAACTGCTCTAGCATGATGTTATGCATGAATGAGTGATTAATTCAGCTCTGTTTCTGTGTGTGTGTGTCTTTGCATGTTGCTATGGTAACTGGAGTGTAGGTTGGGCTGTCCCATGGAGAACACTCGCAGCTTGCTGCAAGGCCAAAGGGCCTGCCTCTTGAGTGTGTAAGTCCTGCCAGCTCAAAGCCAGGGCACGCCTTATCCATCCCATCACCTGATTTTAAGTTTATATTTGATACCGTGTCTATAAAGATTTCCTACGAAGCAGGGGCGGCGTTAGGCCTGGCTACTTGGGCTGAAGCCCCGGACGTTTCATGAAAAGCCCCGGATCTAAATCGCGGAAGTAACATGCAGTACCAAAGTCCAACAGAGAGGGAGCAGCTGGCAGTAGTTTGTATACAGCCTGCCTGAGCCTCCACCACTGAAGAAGAAGCCCTTCAGCAGCCGGCTTCTTCTACACTCGCTGCCTGAAACGCATGAGTGAAGATGGACATAAGGACGTTTTTTAGACAAAAAGTACGGCGAAAGCACCCCAGCTTTGATGAGACTGGTGCTGACTCAGGTTTGTGAGTCTTACTTGAAAATATTTGTTGTGCTGCTGGTTCGCCTGAAGTTAGCTTACTATCAGGTAAAGTTGTTGGAGAAAGAAAGGGAATATTTACTATCATCTCACACTAAACACTAACAGGAACAATACTCTGCCCTGAAATGCTTAATATGTAGCTTCAGATTAAAAATTATGTGGTACAAGACATATATATATATATATGATGTTGACTAGTGCGTGTCACGTGTGTGTGTGTGCGCGTGTGTGTGTGTGTTAAGCCCCAGATCTTCTTCAGTCCTAAATCCGCCCCTGCTACGAAGCACAAAAACATTAGAATTAAATGAGTAGTGGGAAGCCATCCAGTTGTCTCTGCCCTCCCGCCAAATGCTGACAGCTCTAGAATCAATCCAAGCCTCCTACTGGATGACGTCTGTTGCTTCTGCCTTGACGCGCGGCTGTGTATTAATGTGGACAGACTAAAAAATGTAATTAACTTTCAGTAAGCTTTTGCCAAAGGATTCAGACAAGTAAGCGCATTTCTCTTTAAAGTCATAGACTTGAGAGATGCAAAAATAATAACAGCTGCAGGAAGGAAGGGCAACTAAATATCTGCTGAGAAACAAGCAGGTTTGCTAAGGAGTTAAATGCGGCTTCAGTTGAATTATTTAACCACAGGAGCAGGAGTCCTGCTGGCCCAGTGGACATCTGGAATATGGTGATCCACCCTACGGAGTAATTAGAGTCCTCCAACGCTCCATCATCTCATTAATATCCACAAACACCAGCGAGCTGTTTGATTCTGCATAATGTCCTCGGAGTCAAAAGGTGAATTTTGACAAGCTCACCTCTTACTGCTCTCGGCCAACACAAGTTATCGCCACTATTAACTCTTTCCTATTAAAATAACCAGTTGTGCAGAGCAACAGAAAGAAAAATAATATTATTTTGGGTTTGGAGTTGGACTGAAAAGGGATTCCAATTTTTCAAACAACAATAAAGTGAGCACAGCCTCTTCTGCAGGATTCTGCATAAAGCGGAGAGATCAACACACTTTTTACACTCGAATACACACAAAAATTAGCCCATCAGAGGAATTGAACAAATGACCTTTCCAATTCCACGAGCTCAGGGGAAGAATGGACTCTACATGAAGCCTGACTAATCTGTGTGTTCTCCTCCGGCCAGCGGTAACGTGAAAATTATCCTGTTCAAGCTCACTCATGCTACTACACCCATCACTTTACAGCAAAGTAAAACTTCCTGTTACTTTAGCCTTTGCTCTGGGTTAGCAGGCACGAAAGACTCTCTCCTCTGAATCTACGCCTGAGCTGGACACAAATCCTTGAGCCCTACCTCAGGGAAGAATAGTGGGATTTAACACACCATCTGATGCACAATTCAAGCCAAGCTGAATCCTCACCTTTGCCCAAATTTCTAGTACTAGTTCCTAAACTCGTCCAGAAAATAGCATTACCTAAGCTTAACCAAGGATTGAGAGAGCCAAGAATACATTTGAGAAAAAGAAACTAAAGTTTTGTATTTTAACAGAGTTAGTGTTGCTGTAAATGAAGAAGGTCAAGTCTCGGTGCGAACCTAAAAACACACAGCCCACACCAGAAGTAATACAGCCCTTACAGGTGTGTTTTAACAACCAGAAGTCGAAAGTGGCACGAAAAGACGAGAATTTTATCCCGACAGGAAACGATGAGCTCTTGCTCACCTGTTTCCAGTTGTCGTAGATAATGACTTTGCTGTCCTCGTCGTCTACAGTCACTGTGCTCTCGTAGCCCTCACCTGTAAACACAAACAAATGAGACGCAGATCAGAGCAGAGTCAAACATAAAAGAGAAGAGGTTCTGTTCACAGAACAAACAGCAGGTCAGAAGGTCTGTGCTGACAGTTTTAAGCTGAGATCCGACGTGAGCACGAGTTTTGTGAATGAAGCCATGTTGCTACAGAAGCAGGAGCTCAGCTTCTGAGATATTTAGGAGGATGCGGGGATGTTTTTTATTTTGCACTTGACCCTGAACATGTGCCTGTACGAGAAACAGCTGTCAGCACTTTGACCCCAAAAAAAAAATAGTTTCAAAACATGTTTTTTACACTGCAAACGGACAACGAACCATTACATATTAAGGCCAATGGGAAAAAAAGGAGGTGTTGAGATTAACATTGAAACAATTGTACCCAGTTGTTCTAGTTTACCAAGACTTCTAGTTATTTTTACTGAGTAAACTATAAAACATGCATTTTGACTAGGAGGTGAAGTCTTTTAGATACTTTCAGAGCAAGGAACAGTGGAACTCAAATAACTTCCTTTAATCCATGGACGTCACTAGGATTGAGATATGGGGGGGCTTAGCCCCAGGAGCTTGACCTTGAACATTTTTTTCACATCCTGCAAAAACTTTGTCAATTAATTCATTATCTGAAGAACATTTAACAAAACCTATTATTTTATCACTTTCTTTTCCTTTCCTACCTTTGTGCATTTTCTCTCTTCTTTTTATAAAAAATAACACTTAATCAGTTCATTAGTGGGGTCTATGTTGAAGAAAGATTTTATATAAGTCCATTAAAAATTAGATATGTTATATTTCCAAATAAAGCTATTCATTTCAGTCTACTGCACTTAACATGGGGAAATGTTGCAGTCAGTTAATTAATTACAACTTGCTTAATTATAAATGTTACTGAAATATGACAAAGAACAAATGAATAATTGTCAAACTTTTATTCTGCCAAATGAGTGTGCAGTTGACAGTTTTAATATATGAATAACACTGATATGAAATGGAATAAAGGAGTATGTAATTAACAATTACAAGACAAAATAACAGTATATATAAAAATGAGGGCTGGGACTTGATTACAATTTTTAATCTAATTAATTAGAGGCTTTGTAATTAATTAATCTAAATTAATCGCATTGTAATCGTTCAGGAAAATGTGCTCTCAAAGCAAAACTTAATTAAAATTATGAGACAGAGAATTAAACATTAGACATAGTTATTACTGTAAAACTAAAGCTTTTAATAAAAAATGCATTTTAATTAATCAAATGTCACTGTGTGACATGAAACAAGACCCAAATCAACTAAAATTTATAATTACAAATAGAAAACGCCTGCAAAGGGTTCCTGAGCCTTTAAATAGTCTCTCTGTCTAGTTGAACTACTGAAATAAATTTGACTTTGCACCAGATTCTAATTTTTCCAGTTTCACTTGTTTGTATAATTGGGAGTTTTTATTAGCATTTCTACTCATAATGTAGTAAAAACACATAAATAATAATCCTTCAAAATGACAGTAGAACAGGCACAAATATGATCTAGCACTTAAATGTACCAACTTTTAACACCAGAGCAGGCATGGCATATTCTGAGAATGATCAGGAACACTAACTGGTTCCAGTTGGATGACTGGAGGATGATGGGACGATAAAAGATCATGGCGAGGAAATAATGATCTGATGAACAGGTGAGCAGACCTTCCTTACATGGGAAGTCCTGATGTTAATAAGGGGATGCTGCAGACCCGCAGATTCACGCCTGCATCAGTAAATCTGGTGTGATCTCCAGCTTGATCACAACTTTCTCATTCCTCGCTGCCCCAGATACACTTAAGCATCCGCCCCTTAGCTGATGACAACTTCAACACAACTGCTGCTTAATGATAATAATGCATGCGATGATGTTTAGACAGTGACTCGTCTCAGAAACGTAAAATTCCCCTACAGAATTGTTTAGAAAATCATCAGAAAAGTTTCAGAGTGTTTCTGTTTTAACTTAAACTTCTGTTTTCAACTTTAAGACACGTTGTCTGTGATTGTTTACAGAGTAGTGAGAACACGGAGCATTCTCCCAGCGGCAGCCAGGTGCCTCTCGTTTGTCTTACTTTCATAAACTACTGTTAGGGCAAAGAATTATTCTGTCTGGTGCTTTCAGCGCTGCACAGATGTTACGTAAATGTTAAAAATATAGCTTACCGCAACTTTTGTAAAGTTTCCTGTGCCACCGGGCAGCCGAAGCAGAGACGATCTCTGAAAAATGTCCGCGACACAGACTCCGTTGTTGTCTGGAAGTTGTTTTTTTTTCAAGTTAAGAAAAGAGGCGGACGTGTTTCCTAAATCCTGCATCAGTCCAAGCAAGGCAACTTCTTTCTGTTTTTATTCCGTTAGTAGCCATTATCAATGTGCATTGTTGTGTGCGTCAGTGATATTTTGTCTACGAGGAAGTCGTGCAATGACAAAGGTTCCGCCGTGCTCGAAATGCAAGCTGCGATTAAATGCGTGAATTTTTTTTTCTAATTAATCATAATAACGCGTTAAAGTCCCAGCCCTAAAAAAACTCAAAATGATAGGGGGGCTTGTGATTATTTTAGGGTGGCTGAAGCCCCCCTAAAACGGACCTAACGACGTCAGAGCTTTAATCCTTCACATTTGCATTTGACGCACAGCCCCCTTCAGACAGGCCATGAAAAACGGAAATGTTCCGGAATCTGTCCGTAAGACCTTTGAGACTGAATACAAACATCCGGATAACGTGTTCCGGAATTTATCCGGACAAAACCCCTAGTGACAGGTCCGGACTTGTTACGGACAGGGTGGCTGCTTCAGACTGGTGAGGTAAAGTTCCGGACAAGAGGGAGGGGGAGGAGGAGGGGACCGGGGGACGCTGTGCGCACCTATATAACTCGCTCCTGTAGCATGCGGCGAACCACGGCAGCTCGCCTCCTACGGTACCGCCTAGACGCGCGACGGAGCGCTTCACACCGCTTCAGTGATTGCTTTAACCATTGAGCTTCATCATCCAGGACTCTTACGCCGGGGACACACCGGCCGCGGAAGCGCCGCGAAGCGCCGAGAAGCGAATCGCTCACGAAATTCGGCCGCTGCTCGCCGCTCCTCAGTTCAGATCAGACGCGCCCCAGTCGAGGCGCGCCTCGGCTCAGCTGTAGTTTTTCTTTTAAACACTTGGTGTCCGCCATTTCCTCTCTGCCTTTTCTCAGCTCTTTTCCTACGTTTGAGTGTTTGTGCGCGTGCGCGCGCGTGTGTGTGTGTGAACCTATGGTATGAGTTGTTTCTGCCAGTTGAATCTCTTGGAACCCGCTCCAATTCTGCAGCTGTATCCTAGCAGTTTCTTCCGACATGGGTACGTAAACAATCATGTTTTTCGGGGGTCGTACAGCTCCTTGTGTTTCTCAACTTCCATAATTAATTTAAAGTCATCCATCCTAACTGCTTGCCTCAGACTTTCTGCCTCTCTGTCCTGTTTGCTCCGGTGAAAAGACACCCAAAACCACACCCCCCTTCACGTGGTCACACACGCACACAAGTTCGATGTGTGTGTATGTGTGTGCGTGTTCGTGTGGTTTTTCTGCAGTGTCTGTTTACGAACACATTTGACTATTGCGGAATTTTATTTTGAAATGCTTTATTTTGTTAACTTTACCGGCCTGCCTCTTATGTCTACGTTTGACTTCCTGCCAGAATTGACGCGATTCACCCGCGGCTCGCGAAAAAAATAGAGCCAACGCCGAAATGATCGCTGCACGGCGCGGGCTGGAGCGCCGGCGCGCGCCGGCGCGCGCCGGCGCGAGGCGATTCGCGGCGCTTCGGCGGCCCATGTGGTCTATAGAATAGCTTAACAAGGGCGCCGAATGAAGGCGGTCCCATTTTCGCGGCGCTTCGCGGCGCTTCCGCGGCCAGTGTGTCCCCGGCCTTATGCGTCTTCGTGTGCGCAGAATTATGCTTAAGCGCCTCGTGACTTTTATCTTGAGAGGCGCTATAGAAATGATATTTTCTTCTTCTTCTTCTTAACAAAAGTCCGATTCCCCCCCCACCCCACCCCACCCCTCGCCGCCGTCAGACATCTGGAACTTTTCCCTGCTGTGTGAACGCAGCCGAAAGGACAAGTTCCGGTACAAAAGTGGTGTGTCTGAAAACACAGTTCCGGTTAAAAACCGGATTGAATTGTCCGCAAATGTTCCAGAATGTCTATCTGAAAAGGACACACACAGAGTCTCAGAATACATGTGTTCATCAAAAAAACTGAATCTCATAAAATGATTTAAGTTTCACCAGAGTCTAATGTTGTTAAGACTTTATTTTGGGAAATAGTCTTTTCACTCAACACATTCTCACTCTAAGCGTCAAAAAATGACGCGGTGTGACCGAGCGTTTGTTTCCGACGCTTAGGGAGCCCCTGCGCGTCCGGAGGTGATGCGCTGTGCCAGAGCCTCGGTATCTAACGCCCACGGTGAAACGAAGATTTCACCGAATTGTGACCTTTACCCTCTTGCTATTTAACCTTCCCCTCACCCCCACCCTAACCTTACCCAGCTGGCGCATGCAAAGCTTTGTTTCGTGTTTCATCGTTCCTCTCAAACACGCTTAATGGAAAATTTAGACTTAAATACTGGGTTAAGGTTAGGATTTTTTTTATTTAACCTTTATTTAACCAGGATAGAGACCCACTGAGGTTAAGAACCTCTTTTACAAGGGTGTCCTGGCAAAAGAGGCAGCAAAAATACAAACAGTCACAATGTGATGACAATGATAAAACACTCAATCATTAAAAGCAGTTACAAGTTGCTAATGCAGTCTCTGAAGCTTTCAGTTTGGTTTTGAAGGCATTTAGTGAAACCTGCTCAGTCATTTTCCAGGTTTTCTGCAGCTGGTTCCAAGCAGAATAAGCAGAACTAGCGAAGGCTTTCTTTCCTATCTGTGTGCGAGCAAAAGGAACAGAGAGTAGCAACTGATCGTTACACCTTAATGAATGGGAATCAACATTTTTTCGTGTGATTGATGTGCAAATATAAGGAGGTAACAATCCAAACACTGCCTTGTAAATAAAAACATACCAATGATTTTGCCTTCTAATTGCCAATGACGGCCATTTCACTCGTGAATATAATTCACAGTGATGTGTCATGGCTCTACAGTTTGTGATGAACCTCAGAGACGCATGGTAAACCGAGTCCAGTTTTTATAGAAGCATTCATATATATAAGATCACCATAATCTAGTACAGATAAAAAGGTTGTAGTGACAAGTAGCTTTTTTCCTTCAAAAGAAAAACACGACTTATTATGGAAGTAGAAACCCAGCTTGAGTTTTAAGTTTTTCACCAGTTTATCTAAATGAGATTTAAAGGTAAGGGCGTTATCTATCCAAACACCTAGGTACTTATACTCATGGACCATCTCTATGACTTTCCCTTCCAATATGATTACTTCAGGAACACTATTTGGCATTTGCCTATTTGTAAAAATCATCAACTTAGTCTTCTCCTCATTAACGGTTAGCTTTAGCTGATGTAATGAGTGCTGGACTACGTTAAATGCTTTCTGCAGGGATTCAACAACCTGAGAAACTGATGTTCCAAAACAATAGATGATCGTATCATCTGCATAGAGATGGATATTAGCATATTTAATATTTTGGCCCAAGTCATTGATGTACAAGGATGGGAGTGAGGGGAAGATTAAATCGCTAGAGTTTAGAGGTTAAATGTCGGCAAATTCTTCCGTTTACCACGGGCGTCAGATACCGACGCTCTGGCGCAGCGTGTCACCTCCCGACATGCAGGGGCTCCCAATGTGTCAGAAACAAACGCTTGGTCACACAGCGTCATTTTTCGATGCTTAGGGTGTGAGAATGTGTTGCTTCGCACTACTCTTGACACTTCCTTGTCTTATTGTATCCTTCCTGGCACACTATACACAGTTGTAGTAAGGCACTGGGAGGTCAGTGAAACATTTTTAGATTGTTTTACTCTAGTTTTGTAGAAGAAGCGCAAACATGAGCTTTAATGAAGGCCTGTCAGATGCCTGCAGGCCATCACCACCTGGGGGTGAGGATGACGGATCGACTGAGGGATGGAGGCTGGTGCTGATTGGTCCTGGTGTTACAGCGAGTGGAGTTAGACACATATATGCTGATGGACAGGTTCAACCCCAGAGCAGGAAGCAAAAAAGTGAAATGCCTAAATTTAGCTACTTCAATGTGATAGACGTTGAAAAGCTGAATTTTTATTCCACCGTAAGACCAAACTGTTTCACACCAAAAAGAACCTCTCTGCACACACACACACACACACACACACACACACACACACACACACACACACACACACACACACACACACACACACACACACACACACACACACACACACACACACACACACACACACACACACACACACACACACACACACACACACACGCGCCTTTTCCTTTGTGATAAGCTGCAGTAGCTTTAACTAACATCCTGCCTCTACAACCGACCAAACGCAGACCTACAGAGGCGCAACAGTCAGCCTCAAACAGGCCGTCTGTGGGGGATAACAAAGGCACAAAAGCCAATTAAAAAGAGGAAAAAAGGCCTGAGTCGAAGCTGATGAGATCCAGACAACTGAGATATCTCTGCTGAATAAGAAACAACACCCAGATGCTGAATGCTGACGCATAAAACCAGACCAGAGGGAAACGACGATACCTTGGATTTGGTAGATAATAAGCTGCTTTTACTCTAAATCCTCCTTTTGTGCTTTAAAAAAATAATTTGAATACGTTTTATTTTTATGGGCTTTTCTTCACCCTAGATTCAGACTTTGCTACGCTCTGTACAAACAGACTATTGCACCCAGACTTTGGAACAGTCTACCTTCAAATCTCCGTCTCTCTAACACTGTAGAGGTCTTCAAAAATCATCTAAAAACTCACCTTTTCATCCAGGCGTTCCCTCCCTAAATGTTTCAAAAAGATGGCTTTGTTCGGGTTCACACCTTCACTTTGTTTATACTCATGATTTTATCTTCTACTTTATCACTGCTATTGTTTTTCTGATGTTTTTATTGGTTAGAGGTATTTGCCCTGATCTTTATCATGTTGTACAGCGCTTTGTGATTTATATCTGTGAAAGGCTCTAAAAATAAACTTTTACTTATTTACTTACAAACAAGACAACGTTTTAGAACCGAGCTGGACTACTGCTATTCTCCTCATCAAATGGTTTTCCCTTCTCTCCTGTTCTCTGACCACCTACACCACAACCTGTGCCCCTCAGACTCCCTTGGATCACAATCATGCAATGCTGGTTTAACACTGGTGGCATGATGTGGTCGTAGCTTAGACACAAGGTGGTCGGTCCAAACCCACAGCAATGCCCACGTGCCCCACAACACGGATCGCCACTTCTGCAACTATCGCACTTGTGACCCTGATTTGCAATCTCCAAGATGATGAACACTAACTTTGTTATGGAAGTTTTGCTCATGCTCTAAATCTTTGTCAATGTGTCACACTCAACCAGCTGCATTTTCAATACCACAAAGACTTCTCTGAGATGCTTTTCTACATTGACTCTTCTTCCAGTACAAAGAGGGTCTTAGTGATGAGGATCGTTCTACTTGGGCTCCAGGAACCAACCATAGCATTCTCATCTAACAACACATTCTCAGGTAGCAGCCTATTTACATCTAATGGTACAAAATTCTATCATATCATTAGAATTTTCTGGGATATCTCCTCTACAGTGTGAGTCAAGCTAAAACCTCGAGGGTATTATACTGAATGCTCTCAATCACTCGTTTTTCAACACGTTTGCAGTGGTTTCTAATCTGAATGAAAGTTTTGTGAGTTGTTTGTGTGGGGGAAAAAAAGCTCTGGCGCTCCTGGTTCAGAAAACTGCAGGATTTGGAGTCTTACTCATTATTATTTATGGTATTCGGACATCTCATCTCTGATCAGCTAACAGCAATGTCTACCACTGCCTCCATTCACTCTGCAATGTGGCCTTTTTTTATCTCTACAAATAACTCAAGCCTGAAGGAGTTTTGCTGTGTGGTGGCATTGCAAAAGCTTACATTAGCTGCTGTTTCCTGGATGTTAAACCAACAACCCCGTCACAAGCCAATATGTTTGAGTGCATGAATGAGCTATTTTTTTTGTGACGTAGAGTTGATGCATTTTCTAATCTGAGCATTTCCCCGTGCAGGAAATAGGGGTAGAAGACTATTTTCACATGTATGCATGTGAAACTCAGAGTGGCTGATTGTATTTGAAAAATAACACAAGTGATCTTTTCTAAAGTTCCCCCCACCCACTATTCAGGCCATTACCGCAGGCTTGTGTCTCAGAGTCTACAGAGAGGGATCTGTCCGACTGTCCAGCCAGGGATAAGGCGAGCGATGACTTTCCCACGCCGTTCTGCCCCAGTAGAACTATCCTCAGTGCCCCGCCGTGGCTGTGATAAGCTGGCTGTCCAGCTGCCGACTGGCTGAAAGATTCATCCCGAGGCACCGCAGTGTCGCTAATAGGCAACACGGTAGGCTCCTCCAAGCCTGGGATCCAATCGCAGTCGTCAGATACGGCCTCTTCCCTCCGCAGCTGGTGTTTGATGGGCAGGGGTGTGCTCCCTCGCCGGAGGGGTGGTGCCGTGGTAAGAAACATACTGTACTGCAAATAAAAACAGACAAAAGAAAGACGTAAGCCCAGAACGGAGGAAGGGGTTGCATTACTAGATTATAATCCACTCATCAAAATGACTTCTGAAGTTCCAAACAGGCTCTAGATTTATCTGAGGCAGACACTGTCGGGTGTAGGGAATGTTATCTGTGGAAAACACAAGGAAAAGGTGTCTCCACAGCTCGGCAAGTATGTGTAAAGAGAGAAGTGACAACAATGGAGGTGAGACAGACGAGGTAGTAGTGTGAGACAGAGATGCTGATGAAGATGCACAGAAGAGGGGAAGGGGGGTGAGGTGTAGACACACAGACAGGGGAGCCACTGAAGAATTGTAAGAGACAGCGGGTTGATGAGTCACGGTGAACGAGGTGGAGACCGGAGAAAAGAAGAGAAGAGAAAGGACCTATTGAAGAAACACAAAGAAGAGATGAGGGAGGAGAGGCTGCAGCTGTGTGATGCTGACAAAGTGTGTTCAGGTGGCTTTTCGCTGCACAGCGTACGAGAGGAGCTCAGCGGCAATTCACGTGAAAGAGTTCAGCTCACTAAAATGTGACTTCTGTCCCTCGTTAGTGCAGAAGAGACATCAGTTCTGGTGCCTGCCACATAGTTTTCTGCACAACAATGGTCGTGCTGACTAAACGGTGCATGTGTGCAGGTTTGTGTGCACGTGTGCAGAAATCCCATCAGGTCAGCCATAGAAGACCCTCATTAATATTAATGCTGCAATTAATCTAACTCCAGCAGCTCCACAGGGCATCTGTGGCTAGGAGCCTGCCCGTGGCAGAGCTAATGACAGTACTGGCACTTGATTAAAGGGGAATGGCATCGAAATAGGAACACACGGGCACATAATGTGATTCAGTACCACCATTAAGCAACGTCACCCAGTTTAACCCGAGATGAACAACTTCAACTCAATCAATAAAAACCAAAGCTGCAAGGAAGGTGCATCCGACCGGATTGGAATGACTGCGCAGGTGTGAGTGAACTGTGAAATTCAATAGTTGCACATTATTTAGGTTTGTAACTCATTAGATACATGTTAGTTATTATCCACAATCACTAATGGATAAAAACAGTGTAGAATCAATCCATCCACTTTGCATCCCTTCCACATCCTCCTACCCAGCGATGCTCTCCAGCTCCTCATCAGGGATCTCATCCTCAGACCACAGAGGGTATATAATCCCTGCATGAAGTGTGGGTATCTTGGTCTCCTCCCTGAGGAAGACACCACAGTCAGATGCCAGAAATGTCTCTACTGACTTCTTTTTGTGAAGAAGAGGAGTTCTACTCTGAGCTCTCGCTGCAACCGAGTCTTGTGGGTTATCGCTTTCTTCACAACCACATCAGACACCAGAGCCACATCCTCCATCTCTTACTAGAATCCTAACTCTTAAAGACACCAAGATATTTCAACGACTCCATCTGAGGCAAAGACTCTTTCCACACCAGCCGGGATTATTCCACTTACCGGTAATTCTAGTCGAGCCAGTCCAACAACAAGTAAAGTGTTTTATAATGTGACCAATAAACATAGATTTTACTGTGATCTGCTGTGTGATGTACAGCCGATTATAACGGCATGCACAGAATGAGTGAGCTGTTTACATTTGAATCAATACTTCTATACACATATCACTGTGTCAATCCCATCAAGAATCACATTGATGAAGTGGTGCCTGCACCTGCTGACTCCCAGTGAGAGGAGGTGGAGTAGATGGTGGGCCTGTCCATCCGTCACAGAGCTAACGCAGGGTGACAGATAACGCTGCACACTCAATCTCATGCCCTCAGCTACATTAGAATCATCAATCAGTTCAACATCTATGCTTTTAGACTCTCTGAAGACACCGGAGAATCCAGGATCAATCCCCAGGAGGGCTGGGTGCTGCTGCACCGCGTTACACTCAGAGCATACAGTACAAAATACAGTATATATATATGGTGTGTGTGTGTGTGTGTGTGTGTGTGTGTGTGTGTGTGTGTGTGTGTGTGTAACCATCAATGCACAATACATTGAATATTTATGACTACAACATGGAACTGATTCGGCCCAGATAACTCCATAGAACAGTGATGACTTGTGGTATTTTGTATGCAGCTCTAAATATGGAATGTTGTACTTTTACTACAAATACAGTGTAATGCAATGTTTGACATTTTTGTAACTGAAACAAAACTCTAAGGTTTCACATCAGAACACATCATTTTTCTGAGTTTGAGGACAATGTTAACCGTACTTTGTTCCTCGATCATCAAATCATATTTTAATTAGTCTCAAAAGGCAGAAGGACATACGCACAAACATGCACAGTAATTATGATGTCACAACGACACATAATTAACATTGTATAATTGTATCGACAAGCGAACATGTCGTTTTATTAATTAATTATTTCATATTTTGTCAAATCCAAAACTGCTAATGTTGATCTGAGACACAAAATGGAGCCTAATAGAAAATGTTTTATGATGTTAGATCACTTCTTCACTTCAGGAGAATAAAGACAACGACCCAGGTTAGAAATCTTGGTGTTATTATTGACTCTGACCTGAAGTTCTCTGGAGATATTAAGGCTACAACCAAATCCGCGTTTTATCACCTTCCTCAAATATCCAGAGTCAGAGGTCTCATGTCTAGACCAGACTTAGAGAAACGTATGCTTTCATTTCTAGTCGGCTGGACCACTGCAATGGTCTCCTAACTGGTCTTTCCAAAAAAAGCTGTGAAGCAACTGCAGCTTGTTCAGAATGCTGCTGCTAGAGTCTTAACAAGAACCAAGAGAACGAAGCACATCACTCCTGTTCTTAGATCCCCACACTGGTTACCAGTAAACTACAGAATAGATTTCAAAGTGCTACTACTAGTTTATAAATCACTCAATGGCATGCGACCAAAATACATGTCAGATCTCATTTCTGTATATACACCCACTAGGGCTCTGAGATCCCTTGGAAACCATCAGCTGGTAGAACCACGGGTCAGAACAAAACATGGTGGAGATGCATTTATGCTGCTCACATATGGAATCAGCTTCCCCATGACCTCAGATCTGCCCCAAACAAAACTAAAAATCGTAATGTACTCATCAGCCTTTAAATGAATTGTTTATCATGCGTCATCTCCACTGTAATCTGCCCTGCAACTTTGTCTTCTCCTTTAGCTCTAAACTAATTCCATTTGTGCGTACAAGGTGGGCGCCATGTCTTTCCAACATGGAGGAAAACAGTGATGGCTCAGAGAAGTTGGGTTTCCATGAGATAGTTCATGTCTTCTGAAGTGTGGTTCTGTTGAAAAAATGTCTCACCCATTTTCTAGATGCCTCTTTGAGCAACCTCAGTTTGGAGTGATTGAATATAACCATTTTAGACTGACATGCTAACAGCTAGTCTGAGCCAAGCCAAGTACAAAGTGGATTCAAGCCACAAGAAACAAGCTGGCCCTTATCAGATTTGTAAATTGTGTTGTTTCATATGTGTTAAATATGTTTTACAAAACAATAAAATATATACTTAAAGAGAAAGTCACCCCCAAATAAACTTTTTTTTTGCTGAGAAACTAAATAAACGAGTGTCTAATGGTGCTGCAGACACGTGTCGTCAATAATTTGGCATTTCAATGCATCTTAGTTAAAATTTAAATATTCTGCCTAAAACTGGCAGTGTTGTGCCATTGTCAGGTAAAAACTCTGCACTGTATTCTAATTTAAATCTGCCACCGCTATTGGCTAAGAAGTATGCTATGATGTAAACTGGTACATTATGATGTCACAATGCTGTCATGAGCCTGAGTGTGTGTTTGTTAGCGGCTCCGCCCTCTCGGTCTGCCAGGCAACAGCATGTGTTGCATTTTTCAAACATGAAGTGGGAGTGGAGTTAGACTCTGGTAGGGGTTGACTTGCTCTTTAAGTCCTAAATAGACAAATACACCCCTCATGCCTCATCCTTGTTCTATTGGACAGTTAGCTCAAAATGAGGAGAGGAAGGTGGAAGCAAACCAATAAAGAGCTAGAAGAAGAAGAAGAAGAAGCTGATTGCAAAAACAATTATGTTTGCATTGCTACTGAGACAAGCCGCAGGAGCTGTACACTAAAACGGACCCCGTCATGAAAAGTCCACTGTTGGGAGAGGTTTTGCCACTTAATAGTGCTCTCCGAAGTACATACTTCAATTATGCAGCCAAACTGAACATTTTAAGAATAAAAAATCTTTTTGTCTCATAGATATCCAAAACCACGACCCTATTTTACTTAATTCTAAAACAAATTAATTGTTCAAAAACCAAAAAGGAAACCATGATAATTCAAACATGTCATTAAACAAGGGGGGAAAGGATTCTGACAGGAAACAACACAGATGTTAGTTTCAGTAAATCACTCATTTATCTAATGTTTGTTTTAAATAAAATTATTTAACCAGTGAACCCAAAGCACCAAAATACATGGATGGAAAATACGATATAATTTTTCCATCCATCCATCTATTTTCAGCCGCTTATCTGGAGTGGGGTCGCGGGAGCAGCAGCGTAAGCAGGGAGGCCCAGACTTCCTTCTCTCCAGCCATCTGGGCCAGCTCTTCCGGGAGACTCCTAAGGCGTTCACTGGCAAGCTGAGAGACATAGTCCCTTCAACGCGCAGCTAATTAATTAAACAATTTGGTTCTGTACCTTTCTCTTCAGCACAGCCGACACAGGTTTATGATGGGTCAGTCCTCCTGCATGCTCAGATCATTCCCTTCCCTTGCTTGAAAATTTGTTCCAAAATGAAAGTTGATCCCACATCTTTTTATCTGTGAATTCAATGCCGTTCGGCGAGTCTCACATAAAAATTGGGGCATCTTACTGTAAAAAAATATACCATTAATGTAAAAAATTAACTCTAAATAAACTATGTTCACAATCAGAATCTAACCCGGGTCTTCTGCACGAGAGTCCGACGTCTTACTAGGTGAGCTAAATACCAGTGAGGTCTTTTGTATCTGTAATATTTATATCCTTGATGTAAGCTGAAACTACATTCAAAGAACGGTTCGGAGCGAAAATGGCTATTTTGTTGCTAATTTGCAGGAAATATCTAGAAGAAAGTAGCTAAGGGTCCTCAGAAATGTAGCTAGGTTCATCACTAGGCGTTAGAAACAACGACAAAGTGGAACTGTCTCTCTCTCTGCTGCTAAAGCTACTGATAGCAAATGCTACGGGCTATGCCTGAGCGTGAACACACATGAAGCAGCCTGCTCGACCCGAGCAGCTCTCTTTTTCTGTGATTTTACAGAAAAACAGGCAATCACAGTAAAAATGCCAGGGCTCATTCTACAGGACCAGGGCATTGCAGGAGAATGTATGAAGAAGAAATTTATTATTTCTATACATGTTTTGGCTGTCAAACTTCCATAATGCCCCTTTAAACCCTATTTCTCTAAACAGAGGCTGTTCAACGACTCTACAACAAGTGGATGCAACTGGTGGATGATAATACTCTTTCATCATTCCAAGAAGCTCTTTCAAAAAATTTACTCATTTATGAAATTTGTTCTTTTGTTTTTCCTATTCAGATAAAAATGTCGATAAATGCATTTTCGCTGTTCACATTGAATCATGGAAAAATGCATTTTAAAGTTTAAAATATTTATATAATATTGTTCTGGTTCTGTAAAGTTCAACTAATGTAGTAACAAATTATGATGCAACAATAGTTGTACTCCTGTAGTGTAAAGTGCTGTTGAGGTGTGGCACCTAGCTTTTTACACACACACACACACACACACACACACACACACACACACACACACACACACACACACACACACACACACACACACACACACACACACACACACACACACACACATTCTGGATCAGCAAGCCAACTCAATTAGGTTAATTGAACGAACTAATCAATTAAGCATGCCGTCCCAGTCTGGGTGGACCGGCGCGCTCAGCCGGTGTGTCAGGGGTTAATCTCCTTCCTCACCACGCAGCCTGTCGGAAAATTGGGGCAAACAATGCAAAATTAATACTACAGGCAGTATTTTTAATCCTTCTTCACCACGACCCAATTTACAGCAGCACCGCTGCTTTCCGAAACCTCCTCCTGGTGCAAACACTTCACTCTTTTAACCTGTATCATTCATCATGCGGCAATTATTCCCCCAACTATCTGCGGAAAACTCGTTTAGGGAGCAAAAACACTACAAGAATAACCGTAAATGCTTTTTACAATAAGACTTAGGAAATCACATTTATTCATGTAAGATATGAAATTATATGGTCTTGTAAATCCGACACAGAGTGCGTAAAAATGAGAAATAAATTAAATTTAAAGTCGGGATGTGAGCATAAATGTTTATAAATGTCTTTCATCTGATTTTCCATATTAAAGGTGTGAATAAGCCCAAATTTGAGCCATCATCTCGTGTGTTGTGTACCTGTTCGTGTGTATTTGGCATTGTGCAAAGCGTACGGAGGGAGGTGGAAAAGCTTATCTGCTTACCTGGTCAGCCATGGTGATCAATGGGTCTTGTGTTTATGGAGCGAATGTGGTGTGGTTTAAGCCATCCGTGCGGACTCCAGACCCACGGCGGGTGCAACACGCGGCGCACAAAGGAGGCGCGCCTCGATTCATTGAACGTGATGTTATTCTTCCTGCTCCGGCGCGTGGAAAACTGAGATAGGTGATAGTAGGTCGGAGGTGGGAGAAGGAAAGAGGCTACACACCTGCGTCCCCGTTGGGAATGAGATGAGGCTTGTTAAAGGTGGAGCGACAGAAAACCACCAGCACCGCTACACACTCTCTCCAGGTCTGTGCGTCCCACCGGACAGCAGTTACTGCGCCTCCCTCTCCACCTCCAGCCAGACTATACCTGCATCTCTCTCTCTCTCTCTCTCTCTCTCTCTCTCTCTCTCTCTCTCTCTCTCTCTCTCTCTCTCTCTCTCTCTCTCTCTCTCTCTCTCTCTCTCTCTCTCTCTCTCTCTCTCTCTCTCTCTCTCTCTCTCTCTCTCTCTCTCTCTCTCTCTCTCTCTCTCTCTCTCTCTCTCTCTCTCTCTCTCTCTCTGCGTGTGTGTGTGCAGGGAGTCGAGCTGAGAGATGATGGTTGGGTTGGAGGTGAATGGAGTATTAGAGCATGCTCCTGGTGATCCAGAACAAACAGAACCAGATACTGACGGGTTGGTTTGTGCTACTTATCTAGGTGACACTTTACAATAAGGGTCCCTTTATTAACTTCTGATATTGTTAACTATTATGTGTCCTTAGGGTTAGGACAAAGGGCAGGAGGGGGGTTGGGGGGTGGTAGCAATGCTGGCTGGCTAGTGCTTAATAATGGTCTAAGTAATCTTATAAAGTGAAAGTGTTATCTTCTTAAAGCAGGTTTGTGTGGTTTCACTCAGGTTTATCAGTGTTGATCATCAGGCAAAGTGGCCGCTAGGTGGAGCTAGAGAAAGGCCTCAGGCTGCCGAAGGTCAGTATGATAGACATCCCATAATGAAAGCACATGTCATCTTCTTTTTACATTTCTAAAGACAAGTTCAAGTTCAAAATTGCATCTGTTATTGTATTCTCTTGACCTTCTACACCTCAGTCTTCACCTACAACACCAGCAGCTGTCACCTCCAGAAGTTCTCTAATGACTTGACCATTGTCGGCTGTTTGTCTTAGGGGAATGACCTGGAGTACAGGTCACTCGTCATGGACTTTGTGGACTGGTGTGAGCGTAACCCTTCGCTTGAACACCAGTAAAACAAAGTAAATGGTGAATGACTTCCAGAGAAACACTCCTCTTCACTCACTACCCTGCAAACGGTCAACACCACATGGACATGTTTGTAGATCTTGTCTTTATTGAGTCTGTCGGTCCAGACCACGTCTGTAGAACATCCAAACTAGGTCTTTGCACAGGGGAGTAAACAATCAGGGAGCAGACATTGAGGTGTGGATACCTTACCTGGGTGTTCACCTCAAGAGTAAACTGAACTGGTCCAACAACAAAGATGCTCTTTAGAAGAAGGGCCAAAGCCGCCTCCAACTCCTGAGGAGGCTGAAGTCCTTCTGAGTTTTCTTCAAATTATTCTAAAAGTGTTTGTGCTGCAGTAACAAGTGAACTTCCCACTGAGGGATCAATAAAGTTGCTGCGGTGGCACAGGAGTTAAAGAGCAAGTCACCTTCTACCAGTCTTTATCCATTCCCACTTCCTGTTTGAAAAGTGCAACAATTGCTCTTTCTTGATTTAAACACAAACACACACACACACACACACACACACACACACACACACACACGCATGCACATACACACACACCCACCCACACACACACACACACACACACACACACACACACACACACACACACACACACACACACACACAGGCTCACAACGACATTGTGACATCATAATGTACCAGCTAATGTCATAGTGTACATCTTGGCCAATAGCAAGGGCAGATTTAATTTCAACTGCAGAGTTTTTACCTGAAGAGGGCGCAACACTGACAGTTTTAGGCAGAATATTTAAATTTTAACTAAGAGGCACTAAAGTGCCAAATTAGTGGCTACACGTGTCCACCGTATAATTAGACACTCATTTATAGTTTATCAGGATCCTGTTTCCCCCAGCGAGAGCAGCCATCTGACACGGCGCTCAGCCACTGTAGCCACAGGTGGGAGGGAGATCTTGGGAGAAGCGCAGAGCACATTGACTCCTGCAGGTTGATGACCTCGCCAGGCTGAAGTCCACCAATTCGGGGGTGGGGGTGGGGTGGGAGGGGGTAGGTCGGGTTTTCACAGCATCTGTCTGCATTCTTTCGTGGGGGTTTGTAGCCTCTCAAGGCTGTTATGGCGTCAGATTCGGATAACAAGAATTTGTTTGGGTCAGACTGAGATAATTTTCCTCTCTGCCTTCAGTCTTTAAACTGATCATTCCAGTCCTTCAGTGAAGCCATTTTGGGTTTTTAAACCTGTCCATACCGTCCGGTGACTCTCTCCGAGATGACATCTATTTTGCGCACTAATACCGGTTTCGCAGCTAGAACATTGTCCAGCTTACGATTCACCTCGAGTAACATCCCAGTCTGTGAGGTCTCCACATGGACGGTGCTTTCTGTGGGTGCGGGTCGCCCTCCAATCGCTCCCGTCTTCCCAAATTTCCAGAAAACCAGATATCCTCCAACTCCATTCAGGAGAAATCCAGTGATCATCAGGCCGAATATCCACACGTCTTCAATATCCTCAATATACAGCTGGGAGAGGCATTTGATCTTCCACTCCTTCCAGGAATCCAGCATATACCCCACCGGGTGTGTCCCCAGCGGGCATGTGGGAGCCCCCTGCTCCATTCTCATTGTTGAAAAAATCGTATCAATCATGTTGAATGACCAATTTATCAAATCCATGGTTAAAAATAGGGGTTTTCAGAAGAAATGCAGAGAGGCGCTCTGTGGGCAGACAGGACAAAGAGCCTTGGGAAAAAAGATAAGGGAGCAAAAAGAGAAGCGTCTGTACTCTGCGAGTGCCAGGAAGAAACGTAATGTTGACCAATCAAGATTTTTTTTATGTGAGCTTATTCTTATTTTTGTAGACTGATCAAAAATGATCAATTGTCATTATCCATGTTATGAGTTTTTCTTCTCAGTGGCCCAAAATGCTGGAAGAAACCTAACTTCTGTTGGCTTGGTTACAATTTAGTAAAATATTCCAAATAGGTTTGACTATTTCTCGTATAACGATACAGTAATTAGGATAATAAACACTATAATAGGGAATATTACTGCATCCCACCTCAAAAGCAGTTTCCAAATCAAAGCTACAGACAATAATCGTGAATCTGAGTCCAACCCATCCCTCTCACAGAGTCATTTTCCTGGGAGATTGTTTCCAAACACTCTCATATCATTAAGAATGATGTCCATTAACATAACACTGCCGACTGGAAACACATCTGTGATAGTATGCATTAGTGGCAGCTGCCAGTCGGTGCTGAAATTGTCGTGTTCAGCTTGTTTACCAAAGCATGATAACATCTCTGCTTCTGATCAGATGGGAAATTAAATCAGTGTCAAGTCTTGAGTTGAAACCTGAGATAAATCCTTCCCAGCTCAGCTTGCTGCTGACAGTCAATAAGGCAAGGAAAAGGGAAACAAGCAGGTTGCTCATTAGTCAATATTATGTGGAATATTTATCATAGATGCCAGAATAAATGAAACAAAGTTTTAAAGCTATTTTATAATGATTTTAACACAGGCAATTTATAACATGTTTTCTGGTGCTATCTATAAACATTTTCCTTGTATTTTCTTCCTCGTGCATCTTTTAAAGCATTCATCCTTCCACCATATCCAGTTACTCCATTATTGCACAGCGACACGCTGTGTTAACGAGAAAGGCACTTGTGCTAAATCCCAGTGCCATCTGGAGGCTGACTTAACTCCTATCTAGCATCTCTAAAACAAAATGACTTGTGCATGAATGAGAGTGCTCTGCCTCAATTCCCTCCAGATGAAGACTCATTCAAAGGGCCGGAGGGACTCCGATCCTGGCAGTAGAAGTCTTCGTCTCAGTGTGGCTGCTGTTTTTAGTTCTGGTTTGGATATAATGTTACTGTGACTGACAGTTGGTGCTCCAGATCAGCCAATTAATCAGTGAATTAAGTCATTAGTTGATGCTTTTTTGCCTTCAGCAGAAGTAAGTCAGCTAGTATGTAAGTTGTTTTCAGAAACATTAAACTTAAAGAAATCCATAAGTCATTTCTTAATACATTTGCAGTGGTCCATAGTAGTTGATGAATGACTTGTAAGTCATACTCAGGGGAAGGAGACCTCCGGTGTGAATGCTTCAGTATGGATAATTCAGCCGGAGGAGAGAATGGCTTCAGACGGAAGGATTTGGTGTCTTATTTCCTGATATTTGGACATCTCTTTTCTGATTGGCTAACAGCAACACAACTCTGCGACTGACTCTACTCTGCAAATTTGACGTTTTATCTCCTACGGTCATCGGTGAAGTGCACTAGGAAGAAGTATGCCATAAGATTTTGAGTGCGTGGTACAAGTATGCAGATTATTGCTGAATTGGGACAGGAAGCATTGTGTCATCGACCGCAACACATGCTGGGATGCTGTTTGCTGTGCTAACTTGAAGAAAAAAAACTTTGAAATAAACAGACAAAATTTACATTTATTAAGGTTGGTTTATGCTTGACGCGTCCGCGAGGTCCGTACGGCTCCGTGCGGAAAAGTTGCGTCATTTTAACAACCACGCCCCTCCACCGCGCCTCCGCACGGCCCACAATTTCCGCAACGTGCACCTCGGAAAATTTCTAACCACGCGGACGCGGAAAAACATGGCGGACCAGCAAGAACTAGTATGGCAGAGGTTCGTAAATACAGACATTTGTATGATTCAGCTCTCAGAGATCACCGTGATCAACATGTTGTTAATAATTCTTGGAGAGAAATAGCTCGCACTGTCGGAAAAGACGAGAACGCTGTTAAAAATGCTGAAATGCCGTGTTGTAAACAGTAATTTCTACTTCTACCATGGTGTAGTGTTGGATGCATGCCGTAGAGCTCCATGCTGCCCAGTTCAGTTTGGGAGAATATTGGCTCACCGCAGAGACGAGCCGCACAAACCATAAACGCTGTGAGTTGTGAAGCGCGTTCCATCCGCGAGTCGCATCACCGCGTGGAAAGTAAATGCGTCAAGCATAAACCAAGCTTTACTGTCCACATTAAACGTTTGTCTGAAACATTCAGAGCATGAATAAATATAATTAATTTTGCTAAAATGAACTACTTTCGTTTGAAAATACATATTTTCAGCAAAACCACTTGAGCCTTTTCTCAGCTATCTTCTCAAAATTCCCTTGCAGCAATAGA